TTAAGAAATTAAAAGGCCACAAGTATATGTTGATGGACTATGTAGACTCATCTGCACCCCCAGGCTGGTGGTAATTCAGAGAATGGTGCCAACTGACCCCTCCTTGGGTTTCCAAGGTGGTATCATTACAGAAGTAGATTGCCCAACCTTCCTTCCAAGGAGTGGCTGGTGGGTTTGAACTGCCAGCTTCTGGTTAGCAGTCAAATGCCTTATGCACTATGCCACCAGAGCTCCTAATACAGACATAATAACCCAAAAAATCCTCTGCCATCAAGTCAATTCCAACTCATAGTTACCATGTAGGACAGAGTAAAACTGCCCCACAGGGTTTCCAAGGCTGTAAATATTTTTTTTTCTTTTAATTTTATTTATTTTATTGTTGTTGAGAATATACACAGGAAAACTTATACGAATTCAACAGTTTCTACATGTACAATTTAGTGACATTGATTACATTCTTTGAGTTGTACATCCATTCTCACCTTCCTTTCCTGAATGGCTATAAAACTTTATGGAAGCAGACTGCCACATCTTTTTTCCTGCAGGGCAGCTGGTGGGTTCAAACTGCTGACCTTTTGGTTAGCAGCCAAGTGCTTTAACCACTGTGCCACCAGGGCTCCTATAGACATAATGTTGTTGTTGTTATGTGCCGTCGAGTCAGACCCGACTCATAGTGACCCCTCCTTGGGTTTCTGAGGCAGTATCACTACGGAAGTAGATTGTCCAACCGTCCTTCCAAGGAGTGGCTGGTGGGTTTGAACCTCGAACCTTCTGGTTAGCAGTCAAGTGCCTTAGGCACTACACTATCAGAGCTCCTATAGACATAATACTATTACCTAATCTCTTCAAATTTCACCAACTGTCCTAAAGTCATGTACTTTACAGCTTCTTTTTTCCTGGTTCAGGATCTAATGCAGGCTCATGTATTACATTCAGAATTCATGTGCTTTAGTCTCTTTTAATCTGAAACAGTGCTTTAGCCTCTGTCTGTTTTTATGACATTGGCACTTGTAAAGAGGGCAGACCAGTTACTTGGTAGTGGTCCCTCAGTTTGCACTTTTCTGTGTTCCCTGTGATTAGATTCAGTTACTCATTTTTTGGCAATAGCACCACATGGTCAGGGCCACAAAAGATGGAAACTGATAGAATGAGAGGAAAATGCAGAACAGAACTCAAATTCTTAAAAAGTCCAGACTTACTGGACCAGTTGAGACTAGCGAACTCCCTGAGAATACTGCCCTGAGATACTCTTTAAATCTTGAACTGAAATTATCCTGAGGTCACCTTATAGTGAAGTAACAGATTGGCATACAAAATAAAGGATTTTACCCATGAGTGCTCCATTAAAAAACCATCTATATGAGACCAAAAGGTCAACAATTACTCTAAAGCAAAGATGAGAAGATAAGTGGGAAGGGAAACTAGAGTAGCAGAAATGGAACAACCAGAATGCGATTAAAGAGAATGTTGACACACTTAAAAACTGTAACTAATACCAGTGAATAATTTGTGTAGACATTGTCAAATGGGAACCTAATTTGCTGTGCAAACTTTCCCCAAAAGTACAATAAAATATTTTTATTTTTTAAAAAAGTATACCAGGTGGTGGTGTGTCCCTCTCAGTCCATCACGTCAGAGGGGACATCACCTTTATCCCCGGTGAAGTGGCTATTTTCCCTCTTGTTATTAAGAGATACATCAGTTCTTTGGTTTTTTCAAGGATGACTAGGAACCCATAGGAGCCTTGGTGGCATAGTGGTTAAGGTATTTGGCTGCTAACCAGCCAAATGTGAATCCACCAGCTGCTCTATGGAAGAAAGATGAGGCAGTCTGCTTCTGTAAAGATTTACCACCTTGGAAACCCAGTGGGGGTAGCTATGAGTCAAAATTGACTTTACGGAAGTAGGTTGGTTTGTTTTTTCAATTAACCCATGGTTAATACAATCACTCTCATCTGAAGCAGCTATTCCATCATTATCCTCATCACTATTTGTCTCCTTAGTGTGAGCTAGTCTAACTTTCTGAGATCTTTGTTGCTTGTTGGTTGTGTGTGTGATTTGAGCAGCTCTGAAGAGCCACTCTTACACATTTTAGGAATCTTACATCTTTTGCGAGATGTACACTTTCACCTTGCAACTGATTTGCTCTGTATTTGTACTGTGTCTACAGACACTTACAGTGTCCACAGTCAGTAAGCAACTGACCAATAAAGGTGACGAAGTGCTGGGCATGGAGAGAGGTGAGTTGATCCAGGGCTCTTCAGGCTATCACTGAATATTCTTTGTGCCATGATGCCTTCTGCTTACCTAGACAAACTTGTAACTCTGAGGACCCCTGTACTATCAGCTTGAACAAAAATCTGTGAATTCTTCTGTTTCTTAGAAGTGACTACGGCTATGTAATTTCCTGTTCCTTATAAGGTACAAAAACAAGGAATGATGCTTTACTTAAGCTGACAAATTAGAATCCCCTGCATAAGTAGAATTCATAATGATGTCCACTGAGAGATGGCCCACAACTTCTTATTTGTGAACAAACGCTCTTTACCTCTTAAAACGTGCTGGTAACTGGACAACAGGAACTGCAGATGCTCAACCAGCTCATCCCAAGTCTGCCACTGGGTTTTATCTGACTGTGGAGACAGTAAAAGCAAGTGATGACAAATCCCTCCCCAGTTAGCAATTTTACACAATTTTTAAGTTACTTTTATATGCTCAAACAGTAGTGTCAAAAAACTCATGAGCTAGACTAGGGAAAAGGTGTTCTTGCATGGAAACTGAAGCAGGAAAAAATGTACCTGACATTTGAGTAGTGAGGTGGAATTGTTCAGAAAGTAGAGAGCCTGGGCCAGAGACAAGGGCAGGCGGGTGGGTGTCTCACAGCCATGGAGGAAGATGATTTCTAACACTTTGCAGCGCAGAAGGTGGCTTTCCATAGTAGTGAAGAACATCTCTCTGCATGGAGAAGAGGAAAACGGAGTTAACCATTGCAAATACAGGCATACCTCAGAGATATCGCAGGCTTGGTTCCAGACCACCGCAATAAAGTGTATATCACAATAAAGTAAGTCACACAGATTTTCTGGCTTCCCAGTGCATCCTAAAGTTATGTTTACACTATATTGTAGCCTGGAAGTGTGAAACAGCATTATAAAAAATGTTTGAAATAGTGTGAGAATTACCAAAGTGTGACACAGAGATATGAAGTGGACACATGCTGTTCGAAAAAGGGTGCTGATAGGCTTGCTCAATGCAGGATTGACACAAACCCTCAATTTATAACAAATACATTATCTGTAAGGTGCAGTACAGTGAAGTGCAATAAAACAAGGTATGTGCGTATTTCTGAGTGCCTATAATGCGCCTGTAGCTACCACCTACCTTGTCAGTGGAAGCTTATGTGCTGCTATGATGCTGAACAGGTTTCATGGAGCTTACAGACTAAAATGGACTAGGAAGAAAGGTCTGGAGATCTGCTTCTGAAAATCAGCCAATGAAAACCCTATGACAGGATCACAACGGTCTGATCCTGTTGTGCATAGAGTAGCCACGAGTTGGAGAACAACGTGACAGCAGCTAACAACAATGTAAATACCAGACGCAGTTTGGTACAACAAGGAATGTTAAGATAAATAAAAGAGTGTTGTTCTTAAAAAGCTGATAATTGAACAGGGGTAAGGGGTTCAACAGGTTCAGTGCAATAGAAACCTAAGTAAAGTGCAGGACAAGGGCACACATATGCAGGGTGCCAGCAGTGCTCTGGAGATACAAAGGAGAGAGGGCTCATCCAGCCAGGAACGGGAATGATCTTTCCTATGGAAGAGGAGGTATGGATGACAGAGTCTAGGAGGAACAAAGAAGCCTCAAAGCAGGTGGCATTTCAACTGGAGGTAAAAATATGGGCAAAACAAGCGAAAAATACATAGCTGTGGCATTGTGACTTCTTACATTTCAGCCTGGGACTTGGGAGTTCTCTTGCCCTTGACTTTGTCACTGTACTCAGTACAGGCCTTGACCAGCAAGGGTGGGCTGGAGCACCTCCAGAGGCTTCTGAGCAGGGGAGAAGCAAAAGTGGAGCTGACTTAAGGATGGTAAGTCAAACTCACTGTTCTAAAAGCATTGCCAGCTTCCAGAAAAAGGTGCTCATCTTAGATGCACAAGGGCATTTCTGGACAGCCTGATGGTCTTTGTTTGGTAGTCTTTGCTAGCTTTGCTAGTCAAAGCAATCCTAGGAAGCAGACAGCTTGTGAGTAGACATGATTATCTTCAGATACATCTTAAGTGTAATTTCTACTGTGCATTTGGTCCATTACTCTCAAAAGAATTTTCCTATTCAATAACCTTTTATTTCAACTGTATTTTTGCATGCACTTTTTATTCTAGGGTTTGCATTTATCCTGGTTTTATAATCCACAAATGGCAAACTCAGAGATCCACAAAGGACAAGGAGCAAGGAGGAACAACATGACTTGCCTAGTGAACAAGTAACAGAGCTGGCCCCAGACCCAAGGGTTCTTTTTCTGACAATATCCTGCCCCTTTGCAGTTTTGCAACACCCTCTTTACAACAAGAGATTCTATTGTACCTCAGCCATTTATAAAAATGATAAATAAGTACCTATTTATTTTCTTTTATTCTCATTATCTTTACTTTTCCATGGGACACATATTTATTATTTGTGTGAGGAAAAGTTAAAAAAAAAAAAAAAAACAGAATGAATAATTTTTTTCCTATTCAAAAGTTTTCAAAGTCTGCATTTGTAAAAATCCATTTATCTCTTTAATATATACTTTTTATCCTTTAAGGGGCCCTTGTGGTGCTGTGGCATTTGGCTGCTAACTGAAAGGTCAGCAGTTGGAACCCACCAGCTGCTCCACAGGAGAAAGATGGCGCAGTCTGCTTCCATAAAGATATACAGCCTTAGAAACCCTATGGGGCAGTTCTGTTCTACCTTCTAGGGTTGCTATGAGTCAGAAATCAACTCAATGGTGGTGAGTTTCGTTGGTTTGTTGTTTTTATCCTTGGCTACATCTTCTCTGACAGATTTTCTTCTTTAATGCAAAGAACTCCAAATTACTACATTTGCAAAATAGTCCCGAGATTCTCTTTAAGTCTAATTTCTACTCTGCACATGGCCTATTATTCTCACAAGATAGTTTTCCTATTCAATAACTTTTTATTTAAAACTGTATTTTCGCTTCCAATTTTTATTGCAGGGTTGGGATTTATCCTGGTTGTATAATCAAAAAATGGCAAATTCAAGAGGTCTCTAATAGGACAAGGAAGTAATTCAACATATTAGGCACAGAACTGGAGGTAGAATTGCTTATTGCAATTTTAACTTAGATTTAAAAACAAGGGGAAGGCCAGCTTTCAGTTCTAGCCTTGAGAGTAGCTGGTATTAGATTTACCCTCTTATTGTAAACAATTACAAATCTGAACATAATATATGAAACAACTTTTTTCAGGCATTGTACAATACACTTGGCAAAAGGGCATAGTGGTAGCATCTGACCTCTTATAACTTCACAAAGGGGAGAATCAAGATGAACATCAATAGCCCAAGGCTGGTACCCATGAGGCAGTGGTCAGATATGCCACCACCCTCTAGCCCTTCTCACCAATTCTGACACCAACGATACCTCCCATGGCACTCTCTATTTCTCTGCCAAGTTCAATAATTCACTGCAATGGCCACATAAAGCTCACAGACAATACTCAAAATCATTGGGTTTACTGGGGAAGTAACAGTTTATAATTTAGGTTCAGGAACACTCAGGATACAATTTTCTACCAGGACAACCTCCCCTTGGCCATATCTATAGATATGCCTCTCTTTGGCTCTTAGCCTCTTCCCTGCTCAGGCAAGTGTTACAAATCTCTTTTAACTCTGCCGATAGGTAGACCCTACTCTGCCAGCAAGGCTCCTGACCAAAGGCACTCAGCTTTCTTGCTCTGTGGGCTGCAAGCCTGCCTCTCTGTCTTATGCCAGTTTCTTGGACAGTGACTCTTGCCAGTCACTGTCTCTCTGCTGTTTCAGTGCAGGGATCTTGAGTCCGAGGATGTGTTCCACTCCTAGTTCTTCTCTCTTGATGGTAGTGAGATTCCCCTTTCTGCCTCTGGGATGGCTCTTTTATAGCCCAGCAGATGGCAAAACTGACCAATCCCCATGTTAGGGTTCCATACACTTTATTTCCATGGTCCCCCCAGTACCTTATTTACATTATTAGCAAGTGTGATAGTAAGGTTGTATATCAACTTGGCTGGGCATGGTTTTGAGTGGCTGGGCAGCTGAATGCAGTTATCCCCCATGATGAGATTGAATGTGGTGTAATCAATTCTATGGTGGAATCTGCTGTGAACAGCAGCCTTTGGTGTGTGGTCTGCTTCTAGTATATAAGGAGATGCTTTGAGAAAGGTCTCGAACTTCTTGGCACATCTGGATCCTGTATTTGGTCAAGTCATCAGTGGTCTGCTGATCTTGGGACTGTTTCTGGACTTGAACAAGTGACTTGCCATGTTGCTTGCCAATCTTGGGACTGTGCTATTTTACTTGTCAATCTTAAGTTCTTCAGCCTCAGCAGCCAGCAGCTGCATGAGTTAGAAAAAGCTTCCAGCTCCAGTGGGCCTGGAACAGAAGGTAGAGCTGAAGACCAAGGTCAATGGGCCTTCACCTAGCCCCTAGAGCTGGCATTTTGAACTTGGACTTCTAGCCTCCTAAACTGTAAGAGAATAAATCCTTGTTTTTTAAAGCCATCCACTTGTGGTATTTTCTGTTAGAGCAACACTAGATAACCAAGATAGCAAGCTATCCAATCCCCTTGGTGGGCCACAAGCTCCTCACATTACGTAATCCCACCCAGACATCTGGTGGGAGTCTCAAAGACAATGGCTTAAAGAGCTATGTTAACTAATTCACTGCACCACAATACAACACAGGACTACGATTCTTGAGAGAAGGGAAACAACGGTGGTCAGCTCCATATTTTACCCAGTTTTCTTTCTGGGGGTACTTTCTAACTAAGGCAGAGGGAAGTGGGTCCCAAACAGACATTAGCAGACTTGGGCTGACAAAAGAGAAACTGGGGTTCAGGACAGCTGAAGTGGTTGGAATTTATATCGTGAAGAAATAAATATGTATAGGAGACCCCTTGGCACACGTGCAGGGAAAACCTCCAAAAGCTTGTTGTTGTTGAGGCGGGGCAAGATGGCGGACTAGGCAGAAGGATTGCACAGACCCTCTTCAACAAAGAAAAGGGAAACCAATTAA